AGATGAGAATATGGAAGAGGAAGTTCCTGAAGAAGATCCTGCAGTTGAACCTGAAAAGGAACAAGAAATATTTGATGAAGATGCAGGTATTTTTCCTTCAGAGGAACCAAAGATGGAAGTTGACCAGGAGGAAGCCAAGGAAGAGTCAACACCACACTTTCTGTCAAGAGAGATAGGTGAGGACTCGACTGCATCGCACTTACCATCAGGTGAGATGGATGCTAACCTTGATGATACTTCAGGTCAGTGGAAATCGAAGAGAAGCCGCCTGAATAAAATTCCTGATCCTCATTTTCATGAAGAAGTTCAGGATGATGCAACCATGGAAGAGAAGAAAGAGGCGGTGGAGAAAATAAAAGAGGTCAGAGAGGATGATGGAGAGAAGAAATTGGAGGCTGAAATCCAGGAATCTTTTCCATCTGAAGTAGTTGTTGAAAAGGATACAACAAAAGTTGACAATACCTATGAGCTGCATACTTCACCTTTGAAGTTGCTTGGAGAGCTTACAGGAGATCCAGGTATTGGCTTTTATCAACTACGCTTCAGGGAAACTCATGCAAGATTGCTGAATCATGTTTGTTTCAGAAAAGGTGAGATTTCCCATCCTCATTATCAGTCAAGGATCAACGAGAATGATTTTGTTCGATCCATTCGTAATATCTGTCCAGTACCTCCACTTGATTGTTATGAACATGAACCAGAGCATGATTTGAAGAGATTCTTCATCAATGATGACCGCATCATTTATTTGGATGGCAGGTATCAGGTCGATCCAAAGGCCCTTGAAAGGGCAGGTCATGCTCGAGAAGAATTGGAGGATACGAAAAAGGAACTCAAGAAGGAACTGGAATCATATGGTCCCAAGGGACCCAGTTGGGACTTTGTCACCTTCTATGAAGAGCTGTGCAGAAGGTTCCTCAAGGGAAGAATAGAAGAACCATATGGAACTAATTTATTGGCCAGCTCAGAGTCCTTGACATTTTTATCCTGGAACTATGGCAACATGGTTCGTGGTCAGAAGTACACCACACCAAGGTTTCTCCAAGGACTTGATAGTGCAATGAGGCCACGCAAACAGAGCGCCATGTCACTTCAGAATGAGCAATTTGAGAACAACCTTTTCTTCAACATGCTCTTCTTTTTACGTGCACATGTCGTGATTCTCCAAGAAGCTCATCTTCTTGTTCCTGCCAAGGAATTTATTGAGCAAAAGAATTGGACAGTTTGTTTCAATGATTGGGAGAATCTTGCAGTGATGGCTAGATTGGCACCAGGTGGATATGTCAAGATCATTGCTGGACATGATCAAGAACTTGGTCACTGTGAACAGCGTGATGTAACTTGGGCTATCTACGAGATTTGTTTTGGAGAAACAAGGCCTCGTCAAGATTTCAAGGATGCAGACTTTGAATTTGATGACTATGGTCCTGAGGACAAGCGTGTTCCACTTACTCGAGCGAACATGCATACCATCAGAGTCTGTAATTATCATGTTGATACACACCGTGCTGTGGATGCCCACCTACTGACAGGAGAACAAACAGCATTGATGCTTTACGAGTGTTTTGTCTATGAGGTGGACATCATTTCTGGTGATGCAAATAGTTTGGCCTACAGAATGTCTGGGTACAAAAGGCAGCCAATGGCTAATTACTATTATAGCACCATGCAGCATTGGATCCGCAAGTTTTCAGAAGCTCGTGTAAAAGCAGATCTTGGTATCAAAGCGCCTATTCCCAGAACATTTTACAGTTCAACTTCACAGGTCCTCAAGAAGTGTGAAGTTTACTTTGATAAACTCTGGGAAGAATATTCTACGGTTGAAAGAGAAGAATGCCAAGGATCACAGCTTGGCGATACATGTTTGTCTACCATTGTTGAATGGGGTCATTCAATGAGTGAAGAGGAATATGAAAATTCCACAGTGAGCACGAAGGAGTTCATCTGTAATTTTTCAGAGAACTTTGCTATGATTGATACAGAGGTTATGTGCTCAAGGCCCACTGACGAGGACAGTCATGGTCCAATGTTTATTTCACTCAGACCAGCTTCCTTTTCATCTGGAGACAGAAGACAGTATCGCATGGGAGCAACTCTTCATGAGGCTAACTTGCGGAGGAAGGAGAGACAAAAGCAGAATAAAAAGAAAGGAAGGCCGCCAACCTCTGGTCAAGCAGCTTCATCGTCTGCAGCGGCATAAATCATGAGCGAAGGCTGAAATTTAAATGATGGCTAGGAAGTGAAGATACTTCTGGTTACAGTTGATACTTTGCTTCCAAGCTTGACTTTAAGTTGCCAGGCTGAAGTTTTAATGAACTCTGGTTTGCAACCAGGAGAAACTTTTTATCAAAGAAGATACTCCTGCATTCCAGGTTTATACGCTTTAGCATGTAGATAGGTATGGACAGTTTTGCATAACTGATGATATCTATCACAGTCGCTTTTCTGAGATGACCTCTAATGGACAACCAGTCATGGTTGATTTTTAAGTCATTTCATGATTGCAATTGTAGTGCAAGATTTTTTTTTGTACATACATTTGCCGGTATCTCCTTCTTGTGTTTTTGATGTGAATGTGGAAGAGAGTCCTTTTGATGCAGTTTATTTTGTCTGTGAATGAAAGCGGTCGAGACCACGTCACGAGAAGATTATTCCTCGGACCGTACGCTCCTTGCATTTTGCAAGGCATCTTAATTCATTGCATTGTGCGGTCTTGAATTTTTAGTTCTTTGTTACGCGAGTGTCGTTTGATTCTTTTATAGGTCTCTGTAGAGAAAAAGCCGCTTTCCCTTTTTAGTTTGATTTAGCTCAGGCCCTAAAGAGCTAGTGAGCGCCGGTACATGGTATCTCCGCCTGCGAAAAGTACAGTCTCCAGCCGAGGTACATTATCGATTTGATCTTGTACTTGAGGTGAGTCAGCTATTGCTCCCTCACTGTATTTAGTAGCTATGAGATTATCTTCTCCAAAGTGTGAAACACACTGGATTAGATAAGTACATGGCACCGTAGTTTTCTTTTAAGTTGTCAGAGCTAGCTGGACTGTTTTAGCCTTGCAGTAGAAAAAGAGTATGCGACATACGCAATCAGCTAGAAGTGGACATGAATCTTGTGCCTGCTGAAAAGTAGAGCCTACCTGTACAGGGTTCCACTCCAACAGCTGATATAGTGTGTCCATGCTTGACTGCTTCAAGGCTCAAGAGAGGGTCAATGGACCCAAAGAGCAAGAGGATAAGACTCTGCGCATAAAAGACACTAGCGGTCTGCACCTCTACCGTGTACGCCCTAGTCACTCTTTCACCCCCCCCCCGCCGAATCCCCGGGCTCTCCCACCTCACAATACCCGGTGGCCCCCCCACGCGCGGGGCAGAGGATGGCCTGCTGGTGGATGGCTGGTGGTGGTCGGCACAAAACCGAACCCAACCCTATGATTTGCGCCTGTTTGATGGTGACCTCTTAACAAATGGAAATAGCTTCCGAGACTCCAATGTAATTGTTGTTGTTTTTAAGGACACGTGATATGATACAGTAATACAGTATGTCCTTTCTAGTTTGAGGTTACTCGATATGTCTACGCCCAAACTAAAGTTTTGGCTCGCTTCCGTCTAATTATCTTCGGCGGAAGCCTGCACAGCTGAGCCTTTCTTTCCGGGGTTGACGGTTGACAGGGACCTCACCGCGAAAATGTTGTATATCGAAGATTCCCCGAGACTTCAGTTCCGCATCTGTCCCTTGCGATAAGAGTGAAAAAGGAGGAAAAATCTTACATCGGGTACCAGATGGTACCAGCAGGTCTTGCCCCGGCTGTCAACGAAGTCATCAAAAGGCCAGATTAGGTGGAGAAACCTTACATCTTCTGCCCCAAAGCCAAGGGAGATGGATGACCAACACTTGGAAAGCATGATCTATGGATGATCGTTGGTCGGAAAGGTTTTGCAAGGAAAGCTTACGTCACGTTCAGCCATCCTGTTTCCTTCCCTGCACAGATTCCGTCGCAGCGGTCTGAGAGGAGTTTCCAAAAATGAACCGGTCGTAGTGGTCGTTTCAGTCTTCCGAAATCTGATCAGGAAAACCTCCTTGTTTTTCCAAGAAATCAGGATGGAAGACCTTCAATGCTTTCAGGATGGAAGGCCTTCAATGCTTGCATACCTGTCTTGAAGATCAGGAAAACCAGCCAAATTCTTGATCTGAATTCAGTCCTGAAGGGCTTTTCCAACACGACCAAGAAAAAAGGTCGATTCACCGGCCGCCGACCCGCCTGCTCTGACTGTAATGCGAACAAATGGGCACAGATGCAATATCCTCGAAGGACCTGGATGTTGCATCTGAAAATCCAGAGGAAAACAGGATGGGTCTTGCCAAGAAACAAACAACCCAGCTGAATCCATCCAGCTTCTTGAAAGTTTCCAGCTAATCAAATGTGTCATGGAGCCATTGTAGGCTCAATACTGTTCAGCGTGGTGAAGGCAGGAGGCAAATCAGGATGAGGGTGATCAAACCTAGGGATCATCCGACATGCAGTCGTGCACCTCATCTTGGCATCCCATTCACTGCCTGCGCAGAGGACTTGCACAGGATTGTTCTCGCTGCAGCGATGCAGTAGTGTATGAGCAAGTGGCAAGTTAAATGAATCCAAAAGGAAGCCATCACCACCCAGTTCAGGTGGTCTATAGACTCTTCACCGCCCTCACCATCTGTTGAGCCTATAACCATGGGTGGTGCTCTTCCGGCCAAACTCCTGTTGGTTTGTACATGAGACCTCAAAACCCGGACATACCTGGACTGCTGGAAGTCAAGTGCTACATGCTGTGCTTGGTGTACCTGAGTTGAAGGCAAACAGAATGGTCACACCTCGTTGTTGAAACACTTTTTGGTTGCTCCCCTGTTTCAACCGACGACCACCCAAGTCAGAGCCGACCTTCCTGCATGTCCAAAGCCCAGCTCCTTCACCTACCTGAACTACATCTGACCATCTTAGATTGATTTCTGAAAACCAAAATCCTTTAGGCCAAGATCTCCCTCGAAATGTCCCTCGCACCTGCCTGGACGATCGCAGGGACGATCGCCCATCGCAATCAATGACAAGTCAACGCAATCAAACCCCAAATATCTATGAAGTACTCAGCATCAGCCACCTCGCATAAACCTCCACATCCACCAACCAGGTGTGCAGCGGGAGCATCGTTTTTTCCAGATGCTATCAGCTATGCCATAAGCAATTCTGATTCAATTGATCTGCTCTACGAATTCGCAGATTCAAAATTTGTAGAAATGATGAAATTCCATCGCTGAAACCGGATTCGTCTCGGTATGGCACCCAGCCCAGCCCCGACCTGCAAGGCACCCCGCCGCCGTGGCGCGCAGCTGCCGGACGGGCCGAAGCAGCTGGCGGCGACGATAGAGGTTCCTGGAGGAGAAACCGCAGCAGATTTGCCGCGGCCAATCACGCCACAAAGTCCACACGTTCGGCAGAAACAAGCTGTGGGTTTCGGGTGTTTCAAAGGGACTCGATGTGGATGATGTGGTCCAGGGCGCTAGCTTTGGGAGGAAAATCATGGTGCTTTTTTGAGACTGGGCAGCTTTGGAGGCACTTAGCAGCTCGCTGCGGAGTTCACACTCCCCACGGGAATTCCTATGCTTGGACCTTCCCAAAAACCTCGCTCGAAACTGCCTTTGACGAAAAATCCGTTTTGATAGAAAAAGGCCCTGGTCGCTCATGAAGTTCGTTCCTGGTCCAAAACGACAGCAGTGACCTGGTCTACGGCGCGGCTCATGGCAGATCCACCAGTCGTTCCGTTGGACGTTGATCGTTCAGGTGCCGTCGGTAGGGGGGGTGCGTGGGAAGGTTTTCCGGTTTTCCGATGCTTCACAAACCTGGATGGTGCTGCTTCGTTTCACGGAAAGGTTCTCTTGCTGAAACTCGGTTCTCTAGCTTCCCGCTAGTTCCTCTTGAGAATACGTTGAAAAAGGATGAAAAAGGATGGGCACCTCCAATTTGAACCCAAAGAAGACCTCGTTTTCTTCCACTATTTGGGTGACTTGTGTCTTTTTCTCGTGGCCCACCAACCATTGCCGCAGGATCCCTGAGACTGATTTCTTGTGTTGCACAGCACCCGTGTTGCCTGGTGAGTTGGGTGTCTCCCTTCTCGTGGTCCCCCAAATAGATACAGAAGTAGATCCCCACTCAAAACGTCGACACCGTGCCACTCTCTATTCCGGATGAATCCGGGATCACGAGACATCAAAGTATCAGATACCCCCCTTTGGTACGGTTGCTGAAGCAGCAGATCACAGGGTCAGTCTCCGCTCCCGTGGGATCTCCCGCAGATCTCCCGTCCCCCGCCGGATCGCTTGCATGAGGTGCGGGGAGAGGCCCAGCTCCTGTGAGGCTTGGAAGGCCACTCTCAGACGCCGAATAATAGACAATGGTTCATGTGTCTAGAGACTTTGGAGGGTTATGCCAGTTATGCTATGTCAATGTGTGATTTTTCCGGTGTTTCTTAGGTCAAACAGCATAACAGCATAACAGGTGTTTCTTACGTTACAAATGTATGATTCTGGTGTCTGAAAGTCGAATCCAATGAAGCACAACAGCACAACTGGACGTAGGATGTTATGTCAAAGCTGATGGCTGATTTCCCGCCAGCAGCTGCGAGTTGTTTTACCTGAAAAACCCAAACATGCGAGTTGCCTTTTTCTACACATGACTGTTGTGAAGAAGATCCACTGGTGGAAGGAACGCAAGTTTACCAAACGCCATACGCTTTGGACCGTTTGCCAGCAGAGCGCTCTCACTTCCGACAGCAGAGGCCCGGTCTGAAACGAAAGAGGCCAAGTCTGACCCTCGGTTTTTTCCGGAATGCTCCTGCATAGGAGGACATGCTCTTGGACTGTCAAGAAGTGGCGACATTGGCCAATCTCGATCTGTTGATCGTGTTGATCACCGTTTCTGTTCATGCTGAAAGGGCATCGCCAGATCTGGAGTGAAAGACATTTAGAACGTTGGATGTCTCCGTAGACTTCAAAGAAATGCTGCAAAAAGGCTGCTGGCATCAGAAATCATCAGAATGCTATTATTCTTTTTGAGGGCTATGGTTCACATGCCTCTCTGTCTGGGTGGTGGTCAAGCCCTCTCGGCTACAGATCCTTTGATGTGTAGATCGGCTGATCCAGCTTGGACATCACCCAAAAAGCGGGAGAATCTCAACTTCAACGATGCTGGAGGATCATCGGGTGTCGAGGCGAGCATGCATTTGTCATCACTCAAGACTTCGCATGGGGCCAAGGTCTTAATGGTGCGTCCCGCACTGGCCATCATCATTTCTGCGCTCGTCTGTCCCTGCCTGCTGGGAAGACCTGTCCCTGGTCACCCTCTGCTTCCTCTGCTTCACACACTTCACCAGCAAGTCCCCCACCCGTCTACCCGGTTCCTGGTTCCTCAAATGCCGTTTCACGCCGTTTAGGGAAAGAAAGCATGTTCCACAGGTTCCACACTCTTTGAATGAGCAAAATCATGTGTCTCTGGAGATGTTCGTTTGAGATACCTTAATTATATACGTGGATGTGAGGTGGTGTTGTGGGATCCCAGTCTTGCATCAGGTGGCACACCTCATCTTGGCCACTTCACGAGAGATATGATCAACCTCAAACCTTGCGCCTCCACCGTTGTCTTTTTGGGTCCGCGAGCGGCGCTCACAGCGCTGAGGAGCCTTTCGGCCAAAGCATCAAGAAACGTGCAATATGATGACCGGGAGTGCGGTAAGTTGGGTTGGTGATCTCGATGTCAAGGGTCTTCGTGGGACTTGGATGGGAGTTTGGAATGGCTTATCCTAGCCACTAAGGCTCTAAGGCCTTCTATCAATATGTCTTAAGATATACACACAAAAACGTAAAAAGTACCTTGGACAGGGCGTCATTGTACAATTTCCAAAAGCAGATTCTGAAGCCTGTCATGCACTCACCTATCGAAAAATAATACAACTTCCACTCCGGGATGCCTGGCTACATCCCTGACAAGTATTGAAAAGGTGCGTCTTTATACATCCTCAATTCAGTTCCAGAACCATTTGAGAACGTCCAAATGAACAAATCTATGACATTTCACTGCAGATTCAGGTGATTTGAAGGATGCCCACCCCCATTCAAGGCCCAGTGGCTGCTAGCTGCTAGCGCATGCTACCGCCCAATGATTGACCCTAGTCAGTCAGACCAACCTGGGTTCCAAGCTCATTGAGGCTCATCCATCTCTTGTGCCTGCCAGGTAGCTGAAAAGGTCGTCATGGCTTAGCTTCGCAACACATCCACGGAAGCAGCCAGCAGCCAGTCATTCATGTTAACAACAGTTCTGCACATGTTTGTGCAGGTAATTAGCCTGAGTTCCTATCTCTCTTTCGGCTTTTGGCCATTCACCATCAGTTCTCTCGGCTTGCCTCCAAAAAAAGGACAGGGACGTCCCTCCCAAAAGTCGTTGATCCGGGGAGGGAGTTGGACGTTTCGGTGGTCCGAGACTGATCGTTTCGGGGGCCCGTTGGACCGTCCGACCTCCCGCTCAATCGTTGCCAGCGCACATTTGAGCCTGGGACGTCCAACCACCCGCTGGGCGACTCTGGCACAACTGGGTGGAGATTTGGGGTTTTAAGGATCCCACAAGAATCATGGGGGCTGGTGGGGCTGGTGTTGAAAGAAACACACCAACGAAGGCAAAGTATACCATCCCACTGAAATCCTCATGCACACATCGTAAAGTTTAAAGGAGAAGCAGGAACTTCGTTCTGAGAGGATGTAAACGGAACCTGTACAGTCCGGATTGTTAACACAGATCCTTGTTGGAAGATGATGTCTAGAAAGCGAACGTGTGAGCGAAGTCGCTGTTTTTGTGGTCTCCTCAAGCACCGATTTGCCCACCCGTGCGCAACGAGTTCAATCTGCCAAGCACACGAACGTCCCAAGCACCTTCATTTTAAGCACCTTCATTTTAAAGGGATCAACTCAAGAAAACGATGGTCAAAGCGATGTGCGCGTCTGGACCGGGACGGACTATGGAGTTGAGAGGACGTTGCGCTGGGTCAAGTGGACGATTCCACGCTTCAGAACGTCCTCGGTATCCACGCAGCTTCCGATCTCTCTTCTTGTGACCCGCGCAGTCCAGCACCTCACGGGCTCGCCCGGTCCGTCGCACGGGTCAACCGGTCCGGTCCAGTCGGTGGAGTGGTGATTCACTGGGTGACCGAGCGGAGACCAAGGCTGACAGGTGCATCCCCAGCAACCAAGAGAAGAGCCTTGTAGTTGGCTGAACCACCAACGGACGACGGGACTTGAGATGGAACGATTTCCACACACCACAAAGGGTCGGTCCGTGGAAACGACCGCAGTGCTCGGAACAGACCCCCGTGACCGATCTCGGGCCAAGGCCGGACGTTCTCATCATACGAGTCCCTGCACGATCGAGTCCCTGCAGCCTACTTCAGGGTGCAGGAAGGAAACTCCTCACTCGAGCGAGCGAGCGAAATCGAGCAGAGAAGGAGGCCTCGAACCAGTGCTGGACTTTCTCTTTGAAGGATGCATCATCCAGTGCGCGGGGCACCTCAGACCAGCTCCAAAGGGACGAAGGGACGAAGGGATCTGGAGCGGTGTTGGACGGTGTTGGATGGTTTTGGGGGTCTAGACTGGGACCAAGAAGCGGTTTATATGAGGTCAGGAATCCAGAACCAAACGCGGGTTCACGCCGAATGGATAAGTGTTTAGAGATGTTTAGAGCTTTTGGACAAATTCCAGTCAGAATGAGATGAATGAGTTGTTGCGAATTTACAGACTTGACTTGAGGTCTTACTTCTTGGTCCCGTGATGTCTTCTTACTCCGCCTTTTGCTTTCTCTTCCTCTTTTTGCTTCTCCCTTCTCAGAACCCCTTTCACTTTGCGCCAGCCCAGTTGGTGAACCCAAAAATCCTCCCGGAAACCACACATCACCACGCCGCAAAACCCAAAGACAAGACCCGACCGTCGACCAGACTCGCCCTGCTCGGCTCACGCCCGAGGAAGGGGCGCTGTTGCTCAAGATCCGCCACTTTCGGCGGTTCATGTCTGCAGACCACCAGGTGTTCACCTCGGGGCGGTGGGAAGCGGAAAGAGGTTACAGTAAAGATCTGGGAGAAGGTGGAAGCACCTGGAAAAACACTCCAAAAACAAATGAAGGAGACCTGAGATGATGCAGGCATTGGTCGGAATTGGTTCGGGCATGGCGAAGATTGACCCAGCCACTGAGTTCGACCTGCAAAAATCCAAGGCAGGGCCAGGACGGATTCATGACCTGAAAGATTCTGTAACACAGCAAGCAATTCAATGCCACTATATGCCACTCAGCCCCCCCACAGATGTCCACTCCACCTCCTAGCATCAGGAACGCAAAAAAAAAACGAGAGCACTCTGTAGCAGTATCACCAAGAGAGCTTCCAAGGAAACTGTCAAACAGAAATTGTTGTCTTGTAAATTCACCTTGCATTGAGAAGCACCGTGAGTCTGGGCCAAGCCCTGAACCAAGAGAACCAAAAGCCCTGAACCAACGCATATCCGGCTCCATCCAGTCTCCGGCTTGGATACTGCGTGGCGTTTAGTAGACATCTACCAACAAGAAAAGGAACCAAAAAAACTGTTTGGAACAAAAGAGCTTTGACCCCGAAGTTGTTGCTACCATCGATCTGGCGCAACTGGAGTTGGTGCTTGCAGGCTCCGTCACGGGGATCGTGGGGTCAATGGGGTCAATGCGAATCCCGAAAACCCTGTGGGGTAATGCGGTCAGCCAAAGGCCACTGCAACCGGAAACAGGCGAGTCAATTGATCATGATACCAACCGGTCAGTTTGTCATGGCAACCAGGTGACGCCAACTTCTCCAATGGGTCAGTTCATTCATTGGGGTCAGTTCATTCAGTTCTCCTTGGCACTCGACACCGTCGTCTTTTGAAGCTTCCGCCTCAGAGGATTGGGTGATCGAAAACAACTCGATGTACTGCTCTAAACCTGGACACGTTCCTTGAACCGGGCCACCAGAACCCCAAACCCGAGCACTTTCGTTCAGACATACTGCCGCATACCATCCTGGTCAAGGCATGAGGTACAATATTCAGGCCCAACAGACCTCTATAAGACACCATATTATAAATATATATATATAAGTTCATGCTGCACGGAATGCTTGGAGGCTACAATCATCCGCCAGTGCAAGAGGGTTCCTATCCATCAAAGGTAGCATTCCTTGGTCTCCTGCATCAATCAATCTCAAAAAGGATGGCTGTGGGCCATCGTCCACGCCAAAGAAATCCTCAAAAAGAATTGAAAGAATACAAAAACAAGAAACCCAACAAAGATGGCTGAGTTCATTTTTCTGAATCCTCAAAAAGGATGGCGTTTGTTTCTGCATGGCTTGTAAGACCCCCTTGTGGCCTTTGTTCTGAGCGCTCCAGCACCAAGAGCCGGAGGAACGTCTCTTGCTCGATGGGAAAACCATATTTGTCCTGCCAAAATCATCCCCTGATCCAATGGCTGTGGGAAAAACGGCACCCCAATTAGTGAAGGAACATGTCAAAACGCACGAGAACTGAGTAAACTGAGTAAACGCGCAACCTAAAAACAAATGCAAGTCGGGTGTGTTTGATTTGATTGAACTATATAAATTCACAGCCACCCGAGGCACCTCAGACTCGATGGGGAGAGGTTGGTTCCACCGTGCTTCCACATGCATTTCGGGTGCCTGGTGCCTTTGCGGACTCTGGTGAACCGTGTCCGAGTCCCTTCTTTGAACAACACCTCACCCCCAACCGGCCCCTCCGGGACACCCAGATGATGGACGCACGCTGCGCTGCGGGTTGGAGTCAACCTTTGGGTGTATAGGAAATCACTAAGGTTAGACGATATGT